CAGAGATCGCTCGGCGCCGTCAGGGAAGTGTGACTATCGAAGCTGAAACATCGGCGCTGCAAGAAGAGAGACCACTGGTGTTCATTCGCCTTGTGCCAACAACGAATCAACCGTCTCACAGCCTCTGAAAATGGAAGATCCTACCAGCTGCAGCTTGACGTGACCAACACCCTTGTCCCAGCATGCACTCCTGATTGAAGTATTGTACCTTGATAGATCCCGTGATTTCCGCCTCGCGGAGAAGCACGAAGGGATGGAGATCATGACAGGGTTGGCCGACACACTGATAGTGTTGCTCATCGGGCGCGAGCGACGCAGAGCCAGTCGCCCGCTCCTCAAAGGCGGTGAGGTTCCTTGGCCCGGTTGATGGGCCAAACATGTAATCAGGATCAGATCAATTGGGAAAGTTTGTGATGATGCAATAACCATCCGCACAAATGATTAGAATTGCCTTGAACAACATCACTGACTATTACCTGAGGAAAGAGTGGCACGAGAAATGATGGTGATGCCACGCAACCACCACAGATCGTCCGTGTGTGCCAATCAATGATTGAGCATCCCAAATCTGCAATCAATACATCAGGCAACAATGACCCTGCTAAGAAGCGCTCGGTGACCGTTGATTTGCGCAAGACTTGATCCGCTGAGTTGCATCTGGTGGGATAGCCTTGGGTATTTGGCAGTGTACTTGATTCGCAGGAGCAGTCCCTGGTGTGAGGTTCTGGAGGGGGCCGTACTAGCTAGGAGCGCGGCAACATGAATCAAAACAGCGTAGTTCCTCGGGAGGTATCGACAGATCCAGGTTTTTTTTTTCTTTGGCGTATTGCGGTAATGCCATCTGGGGCAATTGGGAAATCGAGGCTGCCGCCCGGAAGGCTGCTGAGCGGCAACGCGGTGGAATATGCTGATTGAATCAGTTATTTCTCTAAAGCCCTCATCGCTGAGTTGACTATCCCTGTTGCCTTGGGTCAAGATGTGACAGATAGGATGCCTCGCTTCTCCGCCTGCCCACGTGCCCTGCTTAGACCGAGTTTCTTAGATTGTACATCGTGTCCGTAAGTGCGTCGTGGGTTACAGGCCGCTGGTGCATTCTATCAGACAGGGGTCTCGTCGCTCAAGGTAAATATAGCATGTCGCATGGGCTATACGGGCTGCCCGCTGTACGAGAGACCACATGACGAGGGAATTCGGCCCATCAACGAAATAGCCGCACAAGAGTCGGTGTACAGCAACATGCTGGACTTTTCGATCCGATGGCACGCTTATAACGCTTCGTTTGATCGGTCTGATTCAGTAAACTGAACTTGGCGCCATCAGGCCGACTGCCTGGTGTTATTCTCGAGGCCCAACGATGAGTCAACCTTCACGAAAGCCATTGTGGAGTTGAGGGGCATCGGTCATATTGGGCCGTCTTGTGCAAATCATGAATGAAGAGAGGTGCTGGCTGTATCTTGACGCAAAAATGCACGCATCACACCCACGATACCATTGACGGTGTGGTGTGTTGGTGGACTTGAACAGCAGCAGACAGGAAATCAAACACACCGTCCAGCGTGCGTCTTTCTTTGGCGCTGAGGTGTCACTCCTAAGGGCCTTGTTGCTGTCAGGCAGTGGAGATGACACGCTTTGGACAGGGGGTTGCAAGGCTGCAGGAAGTCGCTGCTCCCCCAGAAAAAAAAAGGTGGATGTGGCTGTAAAACTGTTCGGGGGAGGGGGTCTGACGAGTTCATCCAGTGTTGCTAGAGACTTGAAGGTAAAGCACCACTAGGGATGCCTTAGCGGTTGAGTATTGCGAGAGGAGCTGGAATCTCCACTGATCGCCAGCCTCGTGCCAGCTGAACGTAAACGAATCTAACGATGTTGCAACGGCGAAACTGCTCTGGCTACCGAGGCTATCCGTGCTGTTGCAAATCGACTTCGTGGATGCCTCCCTCCCTTGAATGATATTGGCACACCCCTCATACCGAGTCTCGCAGTGTCGGGTGGATGTGATGAGGGTTAGGGGGTTATCGCTGTTTCCCACATTTCTTTTTTGGCCTTAGGGTCCGATCGGCGTGCGATATCATCGTGGAATAACTTACACCATGGGCATTATGCAGAAACCGGATCCTCCACGCCATCCCCCAAGCCATTCCTCGGAGGTCGTATGGCGCAGACCCAGCCAACTGGGATGAGATGAAGCGCAACAGGCTGAACAGTGAATGCCAGGCCTTGCAATGACGATTAGTGGCCCAGGTAGGTCCCAGTATGTTTCGTTCCCGCGCAGGCTGGAATGCAACGCGAGGGAAGGAAACAACAAGGTTGGTCAGTGCTTCGTGACTCACTCTGATGGCGGCGACAGCAAGCCCAGAGGATCGATTCATCAGCAAGCACGCGTCGTGGCCACAGCGTCTCAACGATAACCTGCCAATACCGGACCTCTTAAAACAGCGGTCTGATGTCCCGAGGCGGGCGGTGTGTCTATCCTTGGCCAAGCGAGCTTCAAGAGGGGCCTCGATGAGAGAGTACGGCTGCACCGCACTGGTGACGAGCATTAATCCTCCGAATTTTTGATGACATTGTGTGCCTAAAGCTACACCACCAAATGCTCATCCATTGAAACCGATGCTACAGACGGTGAGACCTAAAGTGACGTAGAGACGACAGTTCAGCTGAAGCAGGCACCCTCAGCTCAGCAGACAACGCATGTAATCCAAATGATGGAGATAGGGATACATGGCTGAATGGCGAAATTATTGCAATTGGCGATCCGTTTCCTTGGGCATGTGTTTGTCGGTCGTGTTTCAAGATCCAGCGAAAGGGCTGCCATTGCCCTGTATGCGTACGTGGTCCCTGCTGATCCCAACAATTGGTTTGCACATGTGCGACACTTTGGAGCAAATCCCGAGGCCGCTTCGCACAACAGACGCACGACTGCGACGCAGCCTTTGCCTTTGCTGTTACCAACACTGAAGTGGCAGCCAAGAGACAAGAGACGGGTGAGCTATTCTGTTGGCTGCTAATGTGTTGCCGTTGACGCGCCGGTGGGCGGCACCGCGACACTCCTCCCTTGATCAAGTGCCGCGCATGTTAGTGGTTGAGCTGTCCTGTGTTTGTACGAGGTACGTGGTGATCTGGTTCTGACTATTCTGCTTTGACAGTAGCGTCTCTCTGCCACCTCGTACCTGGCGAATGCGCAGGGCGATAGCTGCATATCACTCTCATGGCGCCCTGGCTACTGGAAATATGTGTCTGGCGTCCTGGTAGGTAGCTATCATGGAAAACCGTAATCCGGATACCGATCATCGTCAAGGAACAGGCGAAGCACCAATGATCTTATGCATTGCATGAGGGAGCCCCGAGCTGCACCAGTCTCCGGTGGAAAACGAGTCACTGGAAGAGTGATGTGCTCGAGTCGAGGGTGCAGTCGGAGCGACGGCAAGGGTTGAGTGGTGTCAGGGGATACTGAGGATACGTTTATGGACCAAGACGATGTGATGTGTGCAGATGTGATGGGCCATGATGCATGAAGGGGCGCGTGATGCAAATTCGACGACGATGGCTTCCGAGCGAAGGCAAATGAGAGCCAATGTCGAGTCAAGCAGAGCAGGCAAGGCCAGCAGGGCGTCAAGGGGGCTTGGGGGGTTTCCTGAATCCCATCGAAGGAAGAATGGAAGGACAGGTAGAAGAAGGCAGGAGGCAGACCAAGGCGAAGGTAGATGCAACAGGAGGGAAGAGCATGCGAGAAGCGAAAGGGGTAGACGACGGGGGTGTGTCTATCGATACAGGGCAGTCCCAGTCGCGGTTCCTCGGCACCTCTGGCACCAATTATGCGGGCAAGCATCACGTCAGGCTAAACCACGCCGCGTCCTAGTCTCCGAGCCTGGAGATTTCGTAGGTGACCTTGAAGAGTGACCTCACTGCACAGGGCTCATGCCTACCTACCTAGCTGGAGGCCAAGCGGGACATGGCACCGAGACGACGGGCGAGCGGCCAGCCGGGTCAGTTTGGATGCGTTCCCGCCCACAGCTCCGGCCCTGGGTTAAGAGGGGAGTAGCGAGGAAGTGTGAAAGCGCTGGCCACCGGGGGGGGCGGCCTTACCCAAACTGATTATCTCTCCCTGCTTAGCAACATGATTAAACTGGAGCGCTGCAATCGCCTTAAGAGACGAAGTGGAAAGGCCCTACCTGTGCTCAAGAGCCAGGGGTGTTGAGGGAGTCACCAGTACAGATGTTTTGGGTTGGGCTGCCGCCCCTGGCCTGGTACCTGGTGACGTGGGTGCAACAGCCAAGCAAGTTCGCCACAGAAGATCCGAGACCTGCTGCCCCATTTTTCCCAGCAGAGCTTCTTGTGGGGGTTCGGCCCAGTTTGATGGGGGATGGGCTTTACGCCTCGTCAGGCTCGAGCTCTTGGGTTGGGGCTGGGGCTGGGGCTTGGTAGAGGCGAGGACAATGATCATCGTTCTTCAACACAACTTTTGCTTTCAAGGCTTACACGATTTGGGTGCCTTGAACAAAGGTACACACGACGAAGGGAGTGGTCATGATGATGAGGGCCGAATAAGGCATGTCCCAGGTTGTTGATGAACAACTGACGAACCGATGGATGCACGACGGGCTAGCTTGGTCGCCCCGGCCGGCTGGTACTTGTGCCTTGCCTGCCTGACCTTTCAAGCTGAGCTGCCTTTCAATTGATCGTACCTCAAAGTCACAGCTCCGAGAGGAGTGCTCTCGTCCTCGCTCACGACACGCCCC